CTTGGCGACAATATTTCCAGGAACCTCTGAATGGAGGTGAAAACACAGTGACGAATGTGCTGCAAGGGCGTACGCAAGAGGAATTGCTGAGTGGCGAAGATGATGTGGAGCCTCCTGATTATGATGATTTCGTTGAAGTGGTTGAAGCACTTAAAAGCCCGAGAAATGGCATGGACGCTGAAATGTTGAAGTATGGTGAAGAGGACTTACTAAAGAAAGTTGTTTGAGGTATGGATCGAAGAAAAAATGCCGAAAGATTGGACGGTAGCTATTATCTGCCCAGTGTTCAAAAAAGGAGAACAAAATACAAAAATTATAGAGTTATATCTCTCCTGGGAGTAGTATATAAGGCATTTTCCTCGCTCCTAAATAAAAAGTTACAAGTATGGTCCGAACGTATTCTTGGTCAAATAGATCTACGATTAACCTAATATTTTCCGTCAAACAGATGTTGGAAAAATGCAATGAATATAATGTAGATCTTCATCATCTTTTCATTGACTTTAAAAAGGCTTATGATAGTGTCAATAGCAGCGAGTTATTGAAAGAAATGGTCACTTTAGGTGAACCGAAAAAGTTTGTTAGATTAACAAGGATGACACCGACTGATAGTTGTAAAGTCAAGATACAAAGAGCAGTATCAGAAAAGTTTGCAGTTGAGGACGGCCTAAGGCAGGGAGACCCCTTGTCCCCAATTCTTTTCAACCTAGCCTTAGAATATGATGTACGTGCTATTCGGACAAGCCCTCATGGCACGATATATAATAGACTGTCACAGCATCTAGTCTATGCAGATGACGTGGTAATATCGGCTAGATCAAGAGCATCTTTATTGGGAGCATTTGAGGAGTTCAAAAAAGCTGCGAAAAGTTATGCCTCCGTGTAAATGATGAAAAGACTGTATATATGAAGTCAGCAAGAAACCCACCAGAAAGAATAGAAGAAAGGATTAAATTTGGAAGCCACACCTTCAGGATAGCAAACCAGTTTAAATATTTTGGTGCTCTTGTCACATCAAAGAATGAACACCTAGAAGAAATTAAGGTAAGAGTAGCTGCTGGAAATAGGTGATATTACGCTCTTCAAAAACCACTAAAATTTAGAGGCCTGACCAACAGAGCTAAGGTCATATTATATAAAACAGTCATTAGGCCAGTTGTATCCTATGGCTGTGAGACTTGGGTACTTTCCAAAGAAAGTGAAAGAATGTTAAAAGTTTGGGAAAGGAAAGTACTCAGAAGAATATATGGACCTGTCTGCGAGAACGGCTGGAGAATAAGAAAGAATGAGGAACTGAAAGAAATGGTCCAAGAACCAGATCTGGTTACTTTTGTTAGAAAGAATCAGCTGAGGTGGGGGGGGGGACATGTAGAGCGGATACCGACGAATAGGATACCAAAACAATTACTGGATGGTAAGCCTGGAGGAGAAAGAGTTAGAGGACGTCCACGATTGAGATGGTGAGATGGAATGGAGAGAGTGTTGAGAGAGCTGGGGATCAGAGGGTGGAGGAGACTCGCCCAGGATAGAGAAGAGTGGAGCAGGATTGTAGGGGAGGGCCAGGCCCTTGTAGGGCTGTAGCGCCATGGAGTAATTAAGTAAGTAATATCTTCGAAAGAAGCCGTTTTCGGAAATACGGCAAACCCTGAACTATCGCGAGTACGATATCACCGACAAGCTCTAGAGTTCATAAACAAAACTACTGAAAATTTATAATATTATCTGCTAGTATGGGTTCATTATTAGTAATAAAAAATAATAGCAATAAAGACAAAAATAAAATTTTAGCTATTATATTCAATTCTCTCAAAACGCTCAAAATCAAACCTAAAACTAAAACTGAACACTTACATTTACCTACTTAAGTTTATTACTTAATTTTACCCGTATGGATCCACGCTTCACAAATTTATTACACAGCCAAAACGACCCGCATACGAAAACTACAAACTTTTTAGTCAAAAAGCTGCAGGACTATAACTAAAGCTCCATGGTAAGTCACAATCATCATTTTACCCAAAGAATTTCAAATGCTAACAGCTAACGACTAAATACGGTCACATTACAGAAGTTTTCATGATAACTTACTTGGACATACTAACACAATTACACAAAGTATAGCTACATTTAACATGCCCGAAAACACACTTAGGAGGCTAAAAAGGAGCTGGTTGAGGGATTTCTTCGCTTAGAAAGACATTCAAATCAAGACAGAAAGGGATGCAGCTGGGTATTCCTCTTCCTTAAGCCGATCAAGCCATTACTAGCACTGTTTCCGACATCAGACTTGCTGATTGTCAATACTTCTGGCAGGTGTCGGCGAAGAAATAGAGTTAAAAAATAAATCACTGTAGCTAACCTAATTAAAGAATACTTTTACGCAATAAAAAATAAAAAGCATATAATATTTATGTGATTCAACAACATGAGAATTCCCGAAAATGATGATGTAGACTACCTTGTTAAAACATCCGTTAATCTACCTCATGTTACAGATATCAAACTGTCATATACGGATTACTTTTCGATAATCAAAAGAAATATGTTAGATAAATGGTCCCTCCATTATCAAGAGTCTTATACAGGTAGATATTTGAAGTCTAACGTGTCGCAAATTTTAAGTAAGCATTGTTTGTTTTTTTAATTGAAAAAAAAGTCAATTAAGTCAAAAGACTTAGTAAGATTTTTTCCTAAATTTAGAATAGATCACGGATTATGTAATGTATATCTTCAGTATATTGGTGTTAAAAACTGTGCTAAATGTGATAAATGTAACCAGAAAGAAACCCTCGAAACGAAATTATAGAATGCCCTGCTTATAAAAATTACAGATAACGATTTCTAAGTTTTTTAAATCCTTCTAATAATGACAATTTATATATAAAAACTATCAACATCGAAAAATCCTCAGGAAGTCGTAAATGTCACGCAAGACTTATATTAATTTAACGGATGGTACCCCTAAACATATGCTATATATTGAGATAGGTTTTAAAAGGCTGCATCTACATAACCTCTCATTTCATCTCAGGTATATAAATTCAGCACTGAAACTTCATTGCCCGAAGATATACACCAACTTTACAGCAAAAATAATAATAGAAAAAATATATACTGGAACTTACATTTTACTTTTATAGGCTATCTAACTTTTTTTTTTATCAGGGCTGAGCTTCAGAAATCGCGGACCAGCAAATCTTCATCCTGAAGACCTCGGCCCGCCATTTCTTCCTCCACTCCACTAATCAATCTACTTCTGGGTCGCCACCTTCTCCGCCTTCCCGGCGGTTGCCAGTACAGAACTCGATTCGGCAATCGCTCTGTTGTCATTCGTCTTACATGGCCGTACCACCTTAGTCTTCTCTGTCCGATTCTGTTGTTGACCTCCATATATGAACCTCCATCCTCTCCCGAATGACATCATTCCGAAGTCTGTCCATTCTTGTTATACGTAAGCATCTTCGCCAAAAGTCTATCTCCACTGTTTAAAGCTTTGGATAGAGCAGGGGTGACATGGTCCATGTTTCAGCTGCGTACGTTAAGATGGGTGCGACGATGGCGTGGAATATTCTTCGTTTATTCTCCTTTAGAATCGTCTCTTTCAACAGCAGCATGCGTGTGGCTTTTCGAGCTGGCTCTGTTTTTCCCGGACGTCAGTTTCTGAGGATCCAGAGGAGTCGAGGTAAGATTCCCTCCTTCCCTCGGATAACAAACGGTCACTTTTGTACATGTCTTAGAGTCAACTTGAAGATTATCCTCATTTCCAGCGCAAATAGCCATGCATTCATTCTTCCTGAAGTTTATTTTGAGTCCCATGGACTAATAGTAGTCCCCAGAGAGCAAACCACCATACATTTTTCACGGTTTCTATTGAATAGTTCAATTGAAAAAAAAATTTAGCCGATGTCGTAAGTTTACTCGTCCCACTATGCGACGACGTGATAATATGTTAATTTTTTTAATATATATATATATATATATATATATATATATATATATATATATATATTAAATTATATAAGAATATTATATATATATATATAAGAATTATATATATATATATATATATATATATATATATATATATATATTGCTATGTATTGTAAGGACCGCATGTGGGTTTTCAGGAATAAATAGGTCTGAATGATAAGTGCTAACACATGGCGGTTGCCTGAGAGTGGAGTGACCCACTGTTCAAAGGGAACAGAAACACCTTCGAGAAAGAGGAAACGGAGGAAGATATAACTGCTGGAAACTGCCTGGGGGGCGTGGTCATCCCTTATGCTAGAAAAATTCAGCCAATCAGATTTCCATTGATCGGTTCTCTTCTGGAACCGATATGAATACAAATATAAGTATTAAATACATTTAATAGAAATAAATGCGGTTTCCTGAACCCCCTACTCGCCGTAGAAACGCGAAGTCCAGGAACAAAGCAATTAATTAACTAACCAAGAAAATTTGTGTTTATTTTAAAAATATTTGAAAGATCGTTGTTATGCTATTTTGATTAACAATAAACATTCTTTCTATCTATCTACTTATATACAATAAATAAATATATTTAAAATGGAAATAGTAGAGAATAGGAATAAAACTAAATAATATCATAGGCGGCTGTATGGAAAAATCCAATGCCAAAACAACAAAAACAAGTAGGCTGTGTTATTCTTACAAATTTGTTGTAGTCCTGAAAAGAGATTTGAAAGCGAACAGACATTAACAGTATTATGAATTATTGAATCAAATTCTGTCACCGATTTCTATCAATGGATGACCGAATTCTATCAATGTTCATCTAGTATTAACCTTGTGTGAGCATACGGATTGCATCCATTACATTTATTTTATGAATAATCGGTTACATCTCAAAAAACATATCATATGTTTAAAAAGATTTCAGCAAGAAAACTAGCACATACAATTCTGTCAAAAGTAACGGCTATTGTTGATTTGAGATTACCTGATTAAAGAATTATGATATTTTATATGTTTTTATTATTTTCAGATAATCTGTTCACAATGGTTTCTGTGGTGACTGTTATTTCATTCTTCTTTTCGTCTGCTTTCCTGCTGCAGGTTATCATACTTAATATTTTTAATTGTAGTTACTATGAATAACCTATTTTAATGCATGTGATTTATAATTACTTTCAATAAAAAGATAATGATTTGTTCTACAAATCGCGATTATTAGTTTAGATTAGAAATTACGTCCTTAGCTCAATTAGGAATTATTGAAAACTAAAAATTCTACTTGTTGAAAAGAACCTGACAGTTTATTGTTGTCTGGTTTCCATGGTGAAAATGTAAATCAACGATATAAATAGGGTAAAAATGGTGGTTCTGCCCCACTTAAATCCCAGAATTTGAAGGGCGCTTTTGGGGTTTGGACCCTAGACAATTCTTTCCTTAACCACCTGCACACCATGTGGCCGGTATAATTTATTTGTATTAATCTTAAACCTTATTCCTAATTTTTATTTTTTCATTTTCAAGTTCGACAGGTCTGAACCTGTCTCAACTGGTCCCATATTGTCTACCTTAAGAAATATAAATGTAAATTGCATTGACAAAAGTATAGACATATTGTGGATATTGTGACATCCTACGATATCATGTCAAAACTTGTATCATGTTTACCTCAAAGAAATATAAATATAAGTTGTAACGACAAAAATATATACAAATATTATTAAAAAAAAAGAAAAGAAATATACATTATAAAGATGAAATATATGATATATTATTACAAAGGAAAATAAATTATAACGATGAAATATATACATATATTATTACAAACGTAATATGTGGTAACAACAAAAGAAATACATATATAGTAAAATTCTTACTATAATTCCTAATTTCGATATCATTTTCGAATTTTACGCACTCGATAACATTATAGTAGACTCAAATATCGAAAAAATTTATAACGTCAATAAACGTATTATATTAAAATATAATAAAATATGGTTTTCATAATATACGTTTATCAATGATATAGATGGCTGTGGAGAATATCTTAAACCTCGGATAACCTTATTGTAGACTCCAACATCAAAGGAAGTTCTATTAAATCGAAATTCAATGAATCGATTTAAAACTGATATCATTTTCGAATTTTACGCACTCCATCACCTAATTTATTAATATCGAAGAAATTCATAAAGTTAATATACGTAATGTATTAAAATGTAATATAATATTATTTTCATAACATATGTTTATCAATGATATAGAAGGCTGTGGAGAATATTTCACAGCTGTGTTAGAAGACAAGTCTCTTCAGATTTGCACATGCATAGACACGTAGGAGGACAAGGCCCACTACGAAGGAAGTGGTAGGGTCGGAAGAGAGTGGTGGAGGAATCCATCACCCAATCAGATTTGAGGATTTTACCTTAGGTACCTGCCTGTCTAGCCCCCACTACTCCCATTCTAGCTACAGACTTCAAGGAGATCATATCACTGATATTTCTTCAGCTAGCGCGCTCATAGTTTCTTTTGCTTCCTTTATATTACCTTTTTTTTGCTTATTATAGTTATCTTTAAAATTATTGTTTTCTTAAGTTTAAAGTTATTTTTGTTCTTTTTTTTTTTCTTACTATTATATATATTTTTCAACTTTAAAGTTTTCTATATTTTATTCGCGTGTTTTCTTATCATAGTTATTTTCAAAGTTATTTTTCGTTCTATATTTCTTATTGTTATATATATTTTTCAAGTTTAAAGTTTTTCTTTTCGTATTTTCTTTATATTTATAGTGTTTTCTTATTATCGTTTTCAAAGTTATCGTTATATTTTTCTTTCAACTTAGTATATATTATTCAATCATCAGCCGTAGGCTTTCTTTCTTTTTAATTGTACCTAGTAGATTAATTTTGTTTATTATTCAATTTAAGAAAAAAAAAAAAGCTTTCTTGGAATGTGGTGTATTTGTTATGCATGTAGGTTTTTACTGTTGGAATATTTATGTCGCTGTGTATTTTATAGTTTATGGTATGATTTGAAGTATACTAGGGTGCTTTTACGATTTTTCGATGAATATTGAACTGTGCAGTTTGTATTTTGTTTGTGTGGAAGTGTTTTGCCGAAATTTCTGAAGGAAAAAAAGTTTTCCCTTTTCCCAAAGTTCTGCTCCATATGTCCAAATAGGTCGTAGTTTGGTGATGTAGATTAGTCACTTATTTTGTAAGCCAAATTTTATCCTTTTTTCTCCCCATGTACAACCATAGCGTTATTTCGTCCTAGTTAGTGGCGTTGTTAGACTTGAGAATGTGTAAACAGGCAAGGCCTCAACACGCTCGGCCGTCACTTCCTCAGCTTTCTTCATCTCTGCCTCTGTTAGGCTTTTTCTTTCCAATTATCTACATCCAACTCTGCAGCACTTATTTTTTTTTTTTTTTTTTTTTTTTGTCTTCCCTTCCTTCCCTTTAAGGCTATACGGAATTTTCCCGGGCCAGAAGATGAGGGCGAGGATTTAAAAGACTCCTCCGGCATCGGGACGCAAACTATTTTTTATCAATTGTTTTATATATCAGGTTGCCGAGCAACAGCAAGTTAGCAAGTTCGGCCCCACGGTTTTGCTTATCCATCTGATTTTCTGACTCCATGTGGTCTCTTGCCAGCTAACGAGAGCTTTATGGTTTAATTAAGCCTTCCTGATGCATTGGTTCGAACTACATATTGACCTGCTTGCCTTTATATCATGATATATTGATTGACTATTTTCTGTAAGCAGTTTCCTGTCACACTCGTCACTCGTAAGTGGTTGCTGACAGGAATTTCATCTATAAAATTTGGGAACCAAAGTTCCATTTTAAATCACCTTTAACATTAATTTAAACATCAAAAAGAGGTGGTTACATATCCCAATGGATTTTTATTTAGAAAACTACGTTTAATTAAAATTGGCCAATTCTTCATGAAATGCTGATGAATTTTCTGTTCAGAAAAGATAAGACAGTTATTAACAAATAATTGGACGGTAAGAAATACTATCCTCAGGATTCATTGCATTTTGTTGTACATATTGTTGTTCCATATTGTTCTAAGTGGAAGTATATATTTTTTTTCCTCTAAAACTCTTTATAATTCTCTTCGTATTCTAATAAATCCCATCAAATCAGTTTTACCCCTCGTCGTAAACCTATGACCTCCTGTCCTACAATATTCTTTAATAATACCTCACTTATCCCTGTAGAACAAATTCGATATCTTGGACTCCACTTAGGCAAACGTCTAACTTGGAATTCTCATACCAGACTGAAACGAAAAGAATCCGCTTGACTTTTCCGATTATTCCAACACTTCCAGTTAATTACAGAAGACTCATTTACATGAATACAATAAGACCTATTTGGGCTTACGGAGTTGAGTTTCGGGGGTCCACTCAGCCATCGAATTCCTCTCGTATCCAATCCTTGCAATCAAAAATCCTTCGGAATATTCTCAATGTTCCTTACTTTGTCACCAATAAAATAATCCATAACGGCCTTAATGTTCCTTATATTTCCGATTTGATCTAGTCCAGATACCTATCCTTTCATAATAACGTTCAGAACCATCCGAATCCTCTTTTCTCTAACCTAGCTTCCTCTTCTATCCTAATAACCCTCCTAGACGTCTGAAAAGAAGATGACCTCGAGATCTCCTATTATAAATAAATTTTTTTTTACAGTGCTACCAGTGGTTAGTTTCTCAACAAGTGATTTCATGTTATTATTTTCTGTTATAAAATTTACTGAATGTATTTTATTTATTAATACAGTTGTTAATATCCTAAATAAAAAAAAAAAGAATTCTCTTCATATGGTAACAACATTCATTGACGAGTATTCATTGACTGGTCTAAGATGTATTGTTATTTATATGTATTTACGTGTTATCCTAATCATTATATTGTACTAACAGTCTCAATAGAATATTGTGAAGAAAGTGACAGCAGAATAAAGATATTTCATCGCCATGGCCTTCAGCAGGCTCGAAGTTCATATAAGATAAGGCACAGCTCCTTTAATCAATGACAAAACATGGTAATAATAGAATATTATTACTAAAATGTTGATGTCAAAACTGCTAAAAAACTGAAAATTTACTTTTGTTTTTAAAAAAACTAAGGTGTGTGCTTTAGACCACACGATAGAAATGAAAACATCAACAAGGCGAGATTAATAAAATGAAATATAAATTATAAATAATAGCTCATTATGAAGAAGATGATATGTTGGACATTTTCCTCGTTTTCACTATGCAGATCCGAATTTTAGTTTCTGAGATATTTCAATCCATATCTTTCATAAAACTTGCTATAATTTGGTTTTCGACACTATTTTTCACTTTTCGCCTCCTGTTTAGGCAACTTTTCTAATTATGGCAAATAACTCTCATGACCTTCAATAAGGCAACATTCTAATTTTAACCAGTGGACTGTATCTAAATAGATTGGTAAGTGTTAATGATTGTGCAAAAAATAGCTTACCGTCTTTATGCCAGCTTACATCTTTTATTACCTGGAGGGCCCTCCTTGTATCTGCCGTGACTGCCAATGAAGAAGTTGGCCGAGCAAACCAGGAGCTCTCGAGGCTTAAGTGTTATCTTTTATCTTTTAGATCTGCCCCCACCACTCGCCGTAACGCGTGAAAATCAAACCATTCTATGGCACAACCACTTCCCTAACACGGTGTCGCTTTAAGATACAATTGTGAATAACAACCAATTATAGCGAGGATGAAATGCTGAACAATTCCGTCACTAATAATACACAAATCCAATTAATAGCTTTGAGGTATTCTAATCCATATGCAAAAAACTTCAATTATTCGACTCCAGCCGACTTTAGCCGAGCGTTACACATCGGAGATCTGGCTATCATAAACATGTTTGAGGATAGCATAAATTGAGTTTTTCCTTATTTATTTTAAGACCCATTTTTTTTTCCATCATCTTCATATTCCTATAAACACAAAGCAGATTTATAAGAAATTTAATCTATCGATATTAAAAATATTAAAGGTTTCTATAAAAGAACTTCTGTGAATATTGTCAGATAATGTTTGAATTGAGAATTATCCTTTAATATTAGTAGAAGCTAGATTTATTTTTTTTTTTACTAATACTTGTTATTATTTGCAGTTCTCTAGCTGCCGCTCAATTGACGAAAATTCTCAGTTGGCATCAGCTCTGAAACAAGGTGATATAGAGAGGGCCAGAGTTTATATCAGAGGAGGTGCCTTAGACGATTTCTCTGGACCCAAGAATAGGGAAAAAATTTACAGCAAACTCCGCACTGTACAATTCCTGTTATCCAATGGTATCACTAGAATTAACACTCAAGAAAATGACTTGAACAAAGATCCACGCGAGGAAGGTGCGTTTGATGTAGTGTTAATACCTAAAACTTCACTGATCACGCGCATGGTTGTTAATGTAACAACGGTAAGAAATTGGGGAAATAAGACGGGAATTAAGGACGGGAGGAAACCCATTCACTTCATCTCTCTATTGCCGGATGTAGGCCCGAGCATTGTCAAGATCATTTTGGAAAATGGAAATGACGATGTCAACACGAGAACTACTTCGGGAGCGACACCATTGATGATGGCTGCTCTAAGTGGAAACTTCGAAGTTGTCAAGTTCCTGGTTGAAACAGGAGCCAGGGTTAATGATACTGCTTCCGTTTCACTTGAAGACGTGAACCTTGATGAACACTTCTCCTTATTTAAATTGTTTTCCAAAACTAAATTAAACGTCAAACCTCACTTCCATTACTCTGCCTTGACATCCGCCATTATAAGTAATAATGTAGGCATTGTTAATTACCTGCTAAGTAAAGGAGCGGACGTCAATAATAATGGTCAGGGTTGGGTTGGTTTTTTTACTGTTTTGTTTGAAGGTAGAGAAGAGATTATGGTGATCCTGTTGAGAAGCGGTATAGATGTTAACTGTAAAGATAATTTTGGCTCTACTGCATTGCACAAAGTAGCCGAATCAGGGAATATCGAAATGGCTAGACTTTTGTTGAAATACGGCGCTAATTTGAATGCCACGGACGCCTTGGGTTGGATGCCGATCCACGTAGCTGCATTTATGTCAAAAATTCGTGGTAAGGAGATGATCCAATTCCTTGTCCAATCGGGGAGCAGTATTAATTCTGTAACTAACGGAGGATACTCGCCTTTGAACTTGGTCGAAGTAGTTTACAATCCACCATTCCTCTCTTTTCTATTCAAAAATATAGATTCTTTAAATCAGAACAGACATTACTCACATCTTTCCGAAGTAAATGCGAGCAAAACGCACACTGACATAGTGGATTCGGTTATTCAACTAGGAGCTTCACTGAACCACCAAGACGAGATCTTCGGTTGGTCTACTCTCCACTGGGCAGCTGCATCGGGCGATCTGGACACTGCTAAGTTGTTAGTAAAGAACGGTGCTGTGGTCAGTTCCAGGTCTAAAATGGGACTTAATCCTTATGAGACTGCCCAATATTTTGGAAGGAAGAAAGTTGAAGAGTTTCTTAAAACAGCCAAAGACTTGGTCCAATAATTTTGGTTAGTAGAGGATGATGAAACCTTGATGAGCATTCTTCATTAGAGGTTTATTGACCACGCGAAGGTTTAATACGTGGTTCATTATTTACTTAGTATACTTATTGTAACAATGATATGCAATTGAATATAAGATTAGCTCATTGATTCATGCAAATAATTGGCTAAATAAGAAAATATATAAATCACATTTTAAAAATTTTGGAGTATTTTATTTTCCTTGTGTTTGTAAAGATTTTTTATATTTATTTATATATTTGTAATGAAGATACCAAGATATGTTCCTGTTATGATTTGAAATTTCACTGTCTGTTGATCTTTCTACCAGATCTTCCTTAGTTTACTAAACTTCTGTTGAAAAAAATTGAAAAATCAGTCAATCGTAGGTGTGGACGGGAAAACTTCAAGATTGCGGCCCTGACCGATGTAATATCATTAAAACTCCATTTCGCGGAGCTGCCAACAAACAACGAATTAACCTTGGGGTGATTTCGATAGATTCAAAAATAAATTAAGGACAATTTTTTTGTTGCATCAAAACCACAAATTAAAATATTTCAACTTGTTTATCCTCATCATTATCCTTAACCAAAAATATTTCATCACATACTCATAAAATAATATTCACTATTACTGAAATTTGGAAATATTATTCGCGGATTAGCCCTGTATCTAGTGAGGTTTGTTGAGTATTGCTGTTATATAATCTTGGCACTTTTTCTTTTGTATTTATTAATTTGCCACTTTTTTAAAAATTTTACTAACAATTTTTTTTTGTGTTATATTTTAGGTATAAAGAGCGGGGTAGCTCAGTAGTAGGGCACAAAGCTTCCAATGCTCGAGCTCCCAGGTTCGAATTCCGGGTAATGGCAGAAAAATTATTTATTCTATTTCATTGGCCGTAGGGTGACCCTGGGATAGAGAGATCCTCCTGGGACACATCCAGCCTCTGCAAAGTGGGTACCCTTAGTTAAAATAATTGATTAAGTGGTGAAACCTGGCGGTTGAGCGTTATCCTGGCCCGATCCCCTCCCTGCACAACCATTGGCCTTGAAACAGTACTTTCCCTAAATTGAACTGAACCGAAAACCCTTCATGGATTGTAGTGGTATAGGTTTTTTTTTTTATATTTTAGGTGTGCGTATTTTTTTTTTTCATTTTATGTCTGCTAATCAGCTGTTTATTATTACCTTTCTCTGCTGTGATGGTATGAAACCTTTTATTTCCTTCATTATATACTTGGATGGCTTGATGAGATAACATTAGCAGAGGTTTTTTTTTCTATTATTTTTCCCCTCTTTTTTTGGCTTTCTGTATATATGTGATATTTTTTCTGCCCTGAGGATACCTGAATTGGTAAAATGCTGTCAGGTCAACTGTTCACGTGTATGTTAGAGACTAATGCTATAAAAATTTGAATTTTTCTATTTAAAAATAATAATTACAATTTAATACATCCCCTGCTTAGAGAAGAAGAGACTAGGTCTTCTTATTTAAAACTGAAATGACAAAGAATTCGTGTTTCGACAATACTTTAACATTATCTGGACAAACTAGTTAATTCAGAATGATATGTAATTGTTGAAAACAATTTTTTTTTTCTTTTTGAAATACAAATTTAATTTAATTGTAATTAAATAAAAAAAATTAACATCTTTATTCTTCTGTAAGACTCTAAAATTACAATTAGAAGAACCATAAAACATTTTTGTTTTTGAAAAACTTCAGCTAACTTCATGATTCACAAACGAAATGGTAATCAACCGGATCTATATCATCTCCTAAAGATATTAAGTGTATTAAAATAAGTTAAATATAGACTTAAAGTATGCAACTTATTTTAACCAAAATCAAATGATTTTCCACGATTCTTATAATTGCTGAAAATTAGGTATCACTATACTCTAAAAGCATTTGCAGGTATTAAACTTTAAGTTCAATTATTACTTTTATTTTTGAATTTTATGTGTAAAAATGAATAACTAATATCATATTTCTATAATTTATTTCATTGAAATAATTTTATCATGTGTATTTGGAAAGTAATAAACAAAAATAGTAATATTAAAAGAGGATAACTCCAATTTTGAAAAGTTTTTCATAATATGATAACCATATTATACTTAAAGTGAATTTTTGCTAATAAGTTATTATTCACTGTAAAAACAGAAAGTCGTTTTGTAAGATTTTTTCCCCATCAATATCAAATTTTTTAAAGGGTTCTTTGTATATTGTGAAAACATTTTGTGTTTTCCCATATTGATAATAGACGCTCCATTTAATTTTTTGCTAATACTTCCATTTATTATTATTTGCAGTTCTCTAGCTGCCACTCAGACTTTGACGAAAATTCCCAGTTGGCTTCAGCTCTGAAACAAGGCGATATAAAGATGGCCAGAGATCTCATCAAACGAGGTGCATTAGACAATTTCACGGGACTCAAGATTACGAAAAAAAGTTATGACAAACTTCGCATTGTAGAATTATTGTTATCCACCGGTATAACTACAATTAACACTCAAGAGAATGACTTAAAAAAAAGTCCATGTGAAGTGGGCGCGTTCGATGTAGTTTTAATTCCTGGAACTTCACTGATCACGCGCATGGTTGTCAACATAACAGCGGTGAGAAATTGGGGGAACAAGACAGTAATCATAGAAGGGGGGAAACCCATTCATCTCATCTGCTTATTGCCGGATGTAAGTCCGAGAATTGTTCAGATCATTTTGGAAAACGGAAGTGATGATGTCAACACCATTTTTGATTCGGGAGCGACGCCATTGATGTTGGCAGTTATAAACGGAAACTTGGAAGTTGTAAAGTTTCTGGTTGAGAGAGGAGCTAGAGTTAATGATACCGGTTCCTTCCCAATAAAAGGCGTGAAACTTCAAGAACACTTTATATTATCTAAATTATTTTCCAAAACAGAATTAAACGTTGAACCGTACTTCAATTACTCAGCATTGATCTTCGCCATATTAAGTAATAATTTAGATGTTATTGGTTATCTGCTAAGTAAAGGAGCGGACGTAAATAATAAAGGAAAAAGCTGGGTAATGCTTTATCATGGAGTGCTTGAAAATAAAAAAGAGATTGTAGAGATCCTTTTGAGAAACGGGATCAACGTTAACGGTAAAGATTTTGTTGGATCTACTGCTTTGCACAAGGCAGTCGATTTAGGAAATATCGAAATGGCTAGACTTTTGTTGAAATATGGCGCTAATTTGAATGCCACTGACGCCTTGGGTTGGATGCCGATCCACGTAGCTTCATTTAAGTCGAAAAAACACGGTAAAGAGATGATCCAATTCCTTGTCCAATCGGGGAGCAGTATCAATGCTGTAACTGACGGAGGATACTCTCCTTTGAACTTGGTCGAAGTTGTCTACGATCCATCATTCCTCTCTTTTCTATTCAAAAATATTGACTCTTTAAATCAGAACAGACATTACTCACATCTTCCTGAAGTAAATGCGAACGAAACGCACACTGACATAGTGAATTCGGTTATTCGACTAGGAGCTTCGCTGAACCACCAAGACGAGATCTTCGGTTGGTCTACTCTCCACTGGGCAGCTGCATCGGGCGATCTGGACACTGCTAAGTTGTTAGTAAAGTACGGTGCTATGGTCAGTTCCAGGTCTAAAATGGGCCTTAATCCTTATGAGACTGCCCAATATTTTGGAAGGAAGAAAGTTGCCGAATTTCTTAAAACAGCCAAAGACCTGGTCCAATAATTTGGTTCGTAGAGGGAAATGAAAAATTGATAAGCATTCTTCATCCGAGATTTATTGACTACGCAAAGATTTTATACATGTTGCATTTTTCATTATTTACTTAGTAAACGTAATGTAAGCTAACTATGATTATTATTACAATAATTATATGATTATTTCATTCCTTTTTAAAATAAATAATGTTTTTAACAGTATATATTGTGATCTGTTTATCTTTATTTCTGTCTGACTTTTAAAAATCCTTATCTCTCTTTCCCTTTAGTAAGCTGTATTTACCTTTTTTAAGGAAGAACAGGAGATGAGCTTAGATAGAATGAGCCGAGAATGATAGAGAACCACCTGTAATATTCAGAGTACATGCGAGCGATACTGATGACCTGATCTGAGGACCACACTCGGACCTTACCGGGATGGACATATCACACTTGTGGAAACCACTCACAAAACGCACATTTCGAATGGTCGATAATTACGGCCAACAAAAGCTAACTTTTACCAGATTCGTCAAAACTGAGATAAATTACTATTAATAGCTCTGCAACTTAAAAATGAGTTCACTAAGTGAAAAAAAAACTCATAGAATTAAAGTTATAGAGCATTAAATTTTGCATCCACAGAGTACTAACAGTTTTTATATAGGACGATTCTATCTATCGTTATTTCTTCATGAAATTAAGATTTTTTTTAAACCTCATTTCTCAAAATCCTTTGCTACTGAGAGGTGGAAAAGATTCCTATAAAGTATATACTAAACTCCGATTTCGTGTGGAGTAAGTAAACTACAGTAAAAGTGTCGGTACTCAGTGGACGCAAAATTAGAAGCTCTACAACTTTTTTTCTATGAGTTATTTCCCTTGGAGAACTCTTTTCCAAGCTGCAGAGCCATTTATTGTAATTTTTATCAGTTTTTGATGAATTTGGTAAATCAGCGTTGGTTTACCGTTGTTATCGATCATACCGCTCTAACCAAATTATGAGGTTTAGTTATTCATTATTCGACGCATAATTTAACCTTTTTTAATTTCTTAAAGAGTACATTTTCCATTTGGATGCACCGTTTAGTAGTTATAGGAGAAAAAACAAAAAAGGTCGAGAAAATCTGACTTTTCTTTACTGTAAAAAATATTCCATTGGCTGCACGCGTTATCAATTTTGTTTTTTACATCTCTAAACCAATGTAGACAAGTTTGAGAAATAAATAATTTTTCGCAATGTATTTTCCGTTTCGATCCTCGAGATACTGGTCTGATATTCTTCAAATCAAACGCCATTTCATAGGAAGCAAGATCTGACTGGCAGACTCTCATTTTTTTAAATATAAATGTTACAAATATTCAAAAAAATGCTTTCAAAGTTTCATCAAACAATGTCGATTTTTTTTCTCATGTGCTCTCGGTCTAAAACGGCTCCAACCTGTCCAGAACTATGGCTCCCCTATTATCAATGTTAGTTCATAGTTCATAGTTCATAACTGATTCTGTTGTCTGAAGCATTACTAGCGCTGTCTAATATAATTATCACAACATTATTAAAATAAATTTTGAGTTTATTTTAATATAATTTTAAAATAATAGTGCGCCTTTTAACTACTGGCTGTCCCATAAGTAGAGAAGATATTTAAGGGGTAATAGTATTCCTAAAGAATTACAAAACATTCATATGAACATTGGTCAGATTTTCGGCAGGAAAGTTGAAAATTGAAGTATTTTTTTTTTTAGTAAGTTCAGTAAGTTATGAAAATTAAGGTAGTATATATAGTATGTCCTATTTCTTGTTCAATTTTTGTCCAGTTCTTGTTAAATAACAAAGAAATGTTTAAATTAAATGATTAACAATTGCTTAACAATAAACAAGACAAAATTTGTCTTTAATAGTTTGGGCAACGACATACTCTACTTTCATATAAAGTAAATTTAGCCTTGTTTACTGTAAAAGAATTGCTAATTACTTAAATTAAATAATTCTAAGTTATAACTAGTATTCAACAGAAAACCGGACTTACTTTAGAACATGAATTTGACTTAACTTACGGGATAAACTAAATACACAAAACTTGAATTTTCAACTTTTCTGGTGATAGTTGGACAACCTTTATGCAACTCTTGAAGTTTACTACTACCGTTTAAATATTTAGTCTTAAAAAATCGCATTTTTTTTTTTTCAATTCTTAAGAATACATAGGTACATATGCTATTTTTTTTTGTCATACCAGTATCCTAAATGGCCTACTTATGCTACTACAGAATAGAGAAGAATGAGAAGATTTAGCAAATGAAACTCGGAAGAGTTTTGAACTGGAACAGTTAAGAGAAACTAATACGTTCATGGAACTGGAGCGGTTGGAATTAATAGGATATTGTACAGTTACATAAAATTTCTAGTCAAAAATCGAAGAACTGTTCTCGAACTCAGCCAGGAGAAGGGTAAAGAAAATTCTCTATCAGGGATTGCCCCGGATGATAGAATAGCACCACAAAAATAAAACATCGATCCGTTATTAATCTGTTAGACAGAGATTACAAGAGTCATTAAGACGAAGGTCGCACTATAAACTAGACCTATATTTATATCATACTCTTCTAAAAAGATTAGAATTCTTTTAAATAGATCCAGAAATATCTTAGTCTGATATCTAGATATTTTTACTGAACATAACAAGTTCTGTTATGATTTGTAATTCTATTCGAAATTGAATTATGTCATTCTGTCAACTGAAAGGCTCAAATAAGAGTTAAATATTATCCGTATATCTTTAATAAAATTTTGGGCTGGTCATAGTAAGTTCTGAATTAAATGTCAATAGAGAAAATAAATCAAAATTTATACATAATAGAATTAATATAGCAAACAATTGTGCAAAAAAATATCTATCAGTCAAAAAGAAATAAAATCATAGAAAAATGGTAAACTAAATTTGTTGAAAGGCTGTTTAAGAAATTTCATGAATATTTTTTCTGCATTTTTAAAATATATTTTCGAGGTAAATTGTGTTTTCTTAAGCTTAATCAGAAAAAACAAATATAACATGAATTGACCAGCTCACATGTCTCCTCTATCTGTCTCTCGCTATTTGTATATATTGTATATATATTATCTATCTTGTATTAGTGTTTTCATACAACGAAATAAATTATGAAAATTGTATTTGTGTATTTATGAGGATCCCTGATTTTACTGCTCACATCAATGCAGATCTACTCAATTTGTTCTCAACCCCTTCAGTCAGTTCTCAACATTAATCCTTCGGATAATGTAGTCATTTCCCCACTACCTTTCATCACCAAATATCATATTAGAAGGAGTTCTTGTTTTGTTTTGTGAAAATTTTTCATCTATTCTTAATTATTCAGTCATCTAATTGTATCTTAATTTTTAGTTATTACTACTCCTTTTGTATTTATTGTTCTTTTTCATTTATTTATTTTTAGGTTCTCTTTTATTTATTTATTTCTAAGGTTCTTTTTATTTATTTATTTTTAGGTTATTTTATTCTTATTTATTGTATATATATTATTTTTCTGTATAATTTATTTTATTTATTGTACATAGAGTGTAAATGTGATCTCATAACACTATTATAAATGTCCTTTGAGTTATATTGTGATATTTTTCAATAAACAAGTTCAAGAAAAAATGTTATTACTACTTACAAAATAGTAATTTTTGTATAATTTTATTTTGTCGTATCATCAGTTTTCTGATCAGGATATATTTCTTTAACAGGAAGCTTATTTTATTCATTTATTATTTATGGAGTTTTAAACTAATCTAGCATTAAACATAGTTCATAATCCAATATATGATAAGGATGCCAACTATGACTGTTGTGTAAGCAATCTTTATCTTTCATGGCTTTAATTGTATAAATACACTTTGATCTTAGCCAATAGGACGGAAAGCAAAGGAAATCAAAATATTTCGCGAAATTTAATCACACCTTGTAATTGCAAATGTTAAGTTTGTAGGTTCTTCTTCAAATTGTAAATATACCTGTTATTTTTTTCTTTTAATCCTAATTTTTTACTATAATGGTTTTTCAATTTTTCTTCTTGTAATTTTTAATATTTAAAGTGTACTTCCTAACTTTTCTTCTTTCAATATTAATTTTATTTTTTAAACTGTATTCTTAGATTATAATCCTGAAATCATTAACCTCTTATTTAAATGCCCTTGTTAACTGTTAACTTATCTTTTTCTAATCTTGAATGTTTAATTTTAATGGTTCTTGTACTTTTTAATGTTTACACTGTATTCTCCAACTTCACCTCTATTAATATTAATTTTTATTATTTAAAAATTTATTTTTTAGCTTTTATTCTTAATATCATTAATCTTTATTTTTATTGTCTCTGTTATCTTATCTTCTATTAAATCTTTAACTTTCAATTTTTATAATTTTAGTTCAATTGTACTATCATAATCATCTGTAATTATTCTAAACTTTTCAAACTTTAAATTGTATTTCTTAGCTATAGTTTAGTTATGTGTGTAGTAATTCATCAAATTGTAATCTAGGGCGAAAATGACCCAGATGGTTATAGAGCCTAAAACATGTATAAATGAATAAAATAAATGGTATAAATATATATGTTGATCGATATATGTCAAATGCTATTCTATATCTAAACAAATTCGAAAGACTGACTCCTCAAATTATCCTACATATTTTAAACAACTACCTCTTGCATGAAAACAAAATATATAATTCAATGAAATCATCTCTAGTGCTGAGAAACTCATGGCCTCTTTTCTAACCATTACTATATAAAAAGTACAAGAAACAGCTAAAGGAATTCATCAATAGAACAATCCGGATATCAATCTTCTATTGTGCGAATCTATAGAAATAAAGCATTAATATTATTATTATTTTTTTATGAATATTGTTTTAGTCATTTTTTTTCCTTTATAAAGTATTTTTAGTTTAATTGTATTCTTCTGGTTTTGTTAAAATTTATTTCTGTTATTCTCTAAGTTTGCATTACCTCGTATCTTGATATATTTAAGATTATAAACATTTATTGTAATAATACTTTTGATTGTTATTAGATGTACTTCTTTCAGATATTTGTTAAGATTGATCTTATGCATTATTTAATTATGTTTTTTATTTGTTTGTTGTTTTAGGTAGTACTTCTGTAAATATACCCAGAAGTACTACTATTTATATATACGTAGTATGAAAAAAAAAAATTTGTTTTCTCTGTTTAAGACTGCCTCTTCTGCAAGTAGCCTCCAGATATCACTGAATCAATTTTCACAAACATTTAGAGAAAAACAAGCAAATAGAATATACATATTCAATAAATAAATCAGAATCAAGAAGTCTTGGTATAATTTTGTGAAAGGTATAAATCTAAGGAACTATGTTTATATTAAGGAAAAGTTTACATTTAGTAGAATATTTAATCTAACTGTAATGTAGTTCTGAATATGTTGAATGGTTCACAGATCACTCAACTAGGTTCCTTCCTGTGTTGAGATATTCAGAAACAGCGTCTCTTCCGAAATGCTTAGCCGTCCTGAAAGGAGTCATGCCAATCTTAGACTTAATTGTAGTTGCTGCTCCATACTCCTCAACGAGCAATTTTGCACCAATCAGGTCTCCATTAGCGGCAGCCCAATGCAATGCAGTCCATCCCAAAATATTGTCTTGGTGGTCCAGATCGGCTCCGCGATTGAGCAAAAGTTGCAAAGTTTCAGCGTGGCCTCCATGATGTTCAGATTCCGCCAGCTCGTGATTCCTGTGTTTGTCGAATTTGAAAGAGTTGGAATTTTTCATAAGATAACCCAAAAAACTGAGATTAATTCCTGCTTCCACTAAGTTGAGAGGCGAAAATCCTCCATCAGTTAGTGCGTTGACATCACATCCAGTATCAAGTAAGAACTCGACAAATGGTTTCTTAGTATTAACTTCGAATAAAACTGAAACGTGCAGTGGATTCCAACCGAAATTGTTTGTCAAGTTCGAGTCCGCACCGTACATCAAGAGAAGCTTGGCCATTTCTATATTACCAGTTTCAGCTACTCGATGCAGTGTTGTTGATCCAAACGGACCCTTACTGTTTACATCGATTCCATTTTTAAGTAAAATTTCAACCACTTCTATTTGCCCTTTATAAGAAGGCCTGAAAAGGACAAACCATGCCTGACCTTTGTTGTTTACATAACCACCGTTCTCTAACAAATACCTAAGGACATCGGGTTGGTTTTCGTAAGCAGCTGCTACAACTGCTGAGATGGGAACATTAATTTCCGAAACGAAAAGAGGTTTTCTTGTAAATATTTTAATATAATCATAAAGATGGTCTATTCTTCCGTCAGGATCCAATGATTTCGGAACGGAATTATTGATGTCAGCTCCGTTTTCGACGAGGAACTTCACTACCTCTAGGTTTCCACGAGCTGAAGCAATTATCAATGCGGTTATGTGATTCTGCTCGTCCCAAGTATCGATTTCGATGGTGCCGAAATCAAGAAAGATCTTGACAACCTCAGGGTCAACGTCCGGCAAGGAGCAGATGTGATGTAAGGGTGCGTTTCCTTCCTTGGCGAGGATTTCATCCTTCACTGCCGTCAGGTTGACATGAACTCTTACCGAGAGATCAGTTCCTGGGATCAAAGTAACATTGAACACTCGTTTGTTAGAATTATGTCTGGTAATGTAACTGTTAGGAGGTATAGATACCAATTGTAATTGGAGTAAGATAGAAAGAACAGCTACTTTTTCTTTAATTTTCTTTAGGGTGCTCATTTCCCTCTTTTCGTATATTCCGTGGTAATACTCTTCCAGAACACCTTCTTCTACCAACCTCTTAACGGTGGAAATGTCTCCTTTCTGGAGTGCTGAAACCAATTCTCCCCTTCTAACTTCACCGCTGTCTGATAAGTATGAATCACCTAATTCTTCTATATTCATTGGTTTTCTAACTCCGACTGAAAACTAAAAATTGCTTCATTACTTCATCATATTTGAATATTCACAATAATCTAATATATAAAAATTCTAATTTCACAACATAATTCTAACATTATATAATATATAATTTATAATTATGACAGGAAATAAATTAATATACAAAAGATATAAGTTTTCAAATAAAATCATCATTAGAGCATTTCTGTTTGTTGGCATAGCTTAGCTACATTTAGCCAGCAGTTTCCATTTCTAATTAAATATATGTTAATGTTCGCATTTACTGAAAAAACAAACTATTTTTTATCAATTTGTTGTCATTCTCCTGCAACCATCTTGAAATTTCTGGTTGATGTGTTTAACACTATAGATTAATCAACTTTATATCATCCTGTGTTCTTATATTCCAAAACAGGTTGTCTTCTGAAGTCCTCGGTTAGTGGTTTCATATCTGTCATATTAAACTAACCTGTATTAATACAGGTGTTTCTTGAATGCAATAGTTTAACTATTGTCTTCTGAATATATGAATATAAGAATTAATGAATATAAGAATATAAGAACTACAATAGCAAGGTGAAGATATTCCTTGATTTAAACAGTACAATTAAATATGAAGTTTCTGTAGGTAATTATTATCTAAGAGAATAAAATTATATTTATTGTTTTATTTCATTAGTTTTTCATAGTGATAACATAGTTAGTAAAAGTTAGTTTTCACGCCTAATAAACTAAATCTACATTAAAAAAAGTTATACATTTATTACATTATTACATTTATTACGTTATAATTCTACAACATTATTATTCCGTTATTAACAGTGGATATATAGAAAAATGCTTGACAGATCACTCAACCAGGTTCCTTCCAGTACTGAGGTACTCCGAGACAGCGTCTCTTCCGAAATATTGAGCCGTTCTGAAAGGAGTCATGCCCATCTTCGACTTTAGAGTGGTTGCTGCTCCGTACTCCTCAACGAGAAGTTTCGCTCCTATCAGGTCTCCATTTGCGGCAGCCCAATGCAACGTCGTCCATCCCAGAATGTCGTCTTGATGGTCCAACTCAGCCCCGCGATTCAGCAAGAGTTGCAAAATCTCATAGTGACCTTCCCAATTTTCTGGTTCTGCCAGTTTTTGATTTTCGTATTTATCGAATTTGAGCGAGTCGGAATTATTCACGAGATAATCCAAAAAACTGAGATCGTTACCTGCCTCTGCTAAGTTCAGAGGTGAAAATCCTCCGTCAGTTAGTGCGTTGACATCACATCCAGAATAAAGAAAGAGCTCGACAAATGACTTTGTACTGTTAATTCCGAACAGGGCTGCAACGTGCAGTGGAGTCCAATTAAAGTTGTTTGTTAAATTTGAGTCTGCGCTGTACATCAACAGAAGTTTGGCTATTTCTATATTTCCAGTTTCAGCTACTCTATGCAGTGTTGTTGATCCAAAAGGTCCTTTACTGTTGACATCGATTCCATTTTCAAGTAAGATTTTAACCACTTCTATATGGCCTTTGTACGATGGTCTGAAAAGTACGAACCAAGGATCTTTGTTAATGATCATGTTTCCACCGTTCTCTAACAAATACCTTAGTATTTCGGGCTGGTTTCTGTAGGCAGCTGCTAATACTGCTGAGACAGTGATATCCATTTCAGAAACAAAAACAGGCTTCCTTGTAAATATATTCATATAATCGAACTGATGGTCTGTTCTTCCATCAATCATCAATGATCTTGGAACAAAATTATTGATGTCAGCATCATTTTCAACAAGGAACTTCACTAACTTTAGATTTCCATTAAGAACAGCATTGATCAATGCAGTTATATACCGTGTATTATCCCAATCATCGATTTTGACGGTACCGTATTCTAGGAAGATCTTGACTACATCTGGTTCAACGTCTGGCAAAGAGCAGATTTGATGTAAGGGAGTGTACCCCTTCTTGACTGTTGATACGTCCTTGACAGCAGTCAGGTTGACAAGCAGCCTTACTGAAAGATCAGTTCCTGGGATCAAGGTGACAGTAAAAAACTGATGGTCAGAAGGATGTGTGGAAACGTAACTGTCAGTAGGTATGGATAACAATTGTAAGTGCAGTAGGGAGTAGAGCACATCTAATTTTACTCTTATTTTCTTTAGGGTGTTCACTTCCCTCTTTTCATATATTCCGTGGTAATATTCCTCCAGAATACCTTCTTCTATCAACCTTTCAACGGCGGTAATTTCTCCTTTCCGCAGTGCAGAAACCAATTCTCCCCTTCTACCTTTACTGCGGTCTGAAATGTCAGTATGATCCAATTCTCCTATGTTTGTTGTTTTTCTATCTCCGACTGAAAACTAAAAATTGTTTTATTACTTAAACATTTGATTTGGATATTTGCAATGATGTAATGAATAAATATATTTGAACTTTAATTTCACTACAGGATTTCAGCTAATTATTTGACATTGAGATTAAATTAAGAATACATGCGATATAAATTCTCAAAATAATCATTATAACATCGTTCCTCTTTGGTTGCATATCCGGTTACAATTTAGACTGGTATTTCCGGCTATAATTGTTATAAATTCATACCATTTATCCAACCATTATTTCATCCTATGCTCAGATAACCCAAAACAAGTTAAAGTTTATGTATGTAATTATTATCTTAATAAATAAAATTATATATATTATTGTGGATTGATGCTTGCCTCCAGTGTGGGGAATTTAAGGGAAGAATGGTTGGTGATAAGTAAAAACAAAATGTAAAAATAAATAAGCATATATGTTTTTATTTTTGCCAAAATATATTTATTGTTCTTTGCATTATATTTATCATAGAGATAACATAGTTTAATAACTGTTAGATTCCACTCCTAAAAAATTTAATCTGTATTTATTGAAAATATACATTTATTATAATATTAATCCTACTACATTATTATTGTATTATGAACGGTGAATAGACAAATTTTCTTCTTTTAATACTAATTTTATTTTTTAAACTGTATTTTTAGATTATATTCCTGAAATCATTAACCTCTTATTTAAATGTCCTTGTTAACTGTTAACTTAACTTTTTCTAATCTTTAATGTTTAATTTTAATGGTTCTTGTACATTTTAATGTTTACACTGTATTCGTCAACTTCGCCTCTATTAATATTAATTTTTATTATTTAAAAATGTATTTTTTAGCTTTTATTCTTAATATCAAAATAGCAAAATGCTTGACAGATCACTCAACCAGGTTCCTTCCTGTATTGAGGTATTCCGAGACAGCGTCTCTTCTGAAATGCTTTGCCGTCATGAAAGGAGTCATACCCATCTTCGATTTAAGAGAGGTTGCTGCTCCGTACTCCTCAACGAGAAGTTTCGCTCCTATCAGGTCTCCATTTGCGGAAGCCCAATGCAACGTCGTCCATCCCAGAATGTCGTCTTGGTGGTCCAAGTCAGCCCCGCCATTCAGTAAGAGTTGTAAAATCTCGTTGTGACCTTCCCGATTTTCTGGTTTTGTCAATTTTTGACTTCTATGTTTATCGAATTTGAGTGAGTCAAAATTTTTCGCGAGATACTCCAAAAAGCTGAGATCGTTTCCTGCCTCTGCTAAGTTGAGGGGAGAAAATCCTCCGTCAGTCAGTGCGTTGACATCACATCCTGAATCAAGTAAAAGCTCGACGAATGACTTGTTAGTTTTACTTCCGAACAGGGCTGCAACGTGCAATGGAGTCCAACCATAGTTGTTTGTCAAGTTCGAGTCGGCGCCGTACATCAACAAAAGCTTGGCCATTTCTGTATTTCCAATTTCGGCTACTCTATGCAGTGTTGTTGACCCAAAAGGTCCTTTACTATTTACATCGATTCCATTTTTTAGTAAAATTTCAACCACTTCTACATACCCATTGTACGATGTGCTGAAAAGTACGAACCAGAAACCATCGTTAATGTCCATATCTCCACCGTGCTCTAATAAGTACCTTAGTACTTTGGGTTGGTTTCCGTAGGCAGCTGCTAATACTGCAGAGACATTGATATTAATTCCGTAAATATAAACAGGCTTCCTTGTAAATATATTCATAAAATCATACCGATGGTCTATTTTTTCATTATTATCCAATGATGTCGGAATGGAATTATTGATGTCAGCTCCATTTTCGACGAGAAACTTTACTAGCTTTAGGTTTCCATTAAGAACAGCATTGATCAAGGCAGTTATATATCGTGATTTATCCCAAGTGTTGATTTCGACTGTACCATAATCTAGAAAGATCTTGACTACCTCGGGTTCAACGTCCGGCAAGGAACAGATTTGATGTAAGGGAGCGTATCCATTATTGGCGATTGATACGTCCTTGACAGCCGTGAGGTTGACAAGCAGCCGTACAGAGAGATCGGTTCCTGGGATCAAGGAGACATTGAACATATTTTGGTTAGAAGGTTGTCTGATAAGGTAACTGTTAGTAGGTATGGATACCAATTGTAATTGCAATAAAGTGGAAATTACATCAACTTTTTTTTTAATTTTCTTAAGAATGGTTGTTTTTTTCTCTTCATTAATCCCATGATATAACTCGTCAAGAACATTTTCTTCTATCATCTTCTCAACGGTGGAAATTTCTCCTTTCTGGAGTGCTGAAACCAATGCTTTCCTTCTAGTTTCATTGCTGTCTGATGACCCGATATGATGACCTGGGTCCTTGACGTTTGCAATTTTTGTATCTCCTACTGAAAACTAAAAATCATGTTATTACTTTAACATATTTGAATGCTCATAACAATCCAGTATGTAATAATGTATATTTATAATAAAAGATAATCAAGGTTAAAAAAAAAATAACGGCATACATGCCTATGAAATATCAGCATCGGCCGATTATCTGTATCTGCCAAAATTTCGACATCGGTCGATCCCTAGTAAATATGAAAAATGGTGGTGGATGCTTACGTAATATTAATTTATTAGATTTAATCCAGTGTTGATATATTCCAAATCAAGCTCTTCTGCAAATTACTTTACTAGGGGTTTTACCCTCATGGGTAGCATTAGTCTCTCTGCTCTCCAATGATATTTTGTACGTATACCTTCTGATTATTATTTCCATAGATTCATTTTCGACCTAGATAAGCTTTTTTTTATTTTTTTGTCCTTTTTTCAATTAGCAAATTCTTTCTAAAGTTCTATTAACATTCTATTTCTAAAAGAGAGTTATTTTTTTTAAATAAACCTATTTTTTTTTTAAACACTTTATTGAGAAATATTACAATTCGTCACAGTTAAGGACACTTATAATAGAGTTCAGAGAGTACATTCATACCATATATACAAAAATATAAATACAATAAATATAAATACCGTCCTTCATCAGAGGCCCAGTTAACTGGAAACTCTTTCACCAAATTCTTACCGATAAAATTGACCTCAGAATGACCCTGAAAACCCCAGATGACCTTGACAATACCGTACACTTTTTTACCACCACTATCCAACAAGCAATCTGGACTGCTTCCTCTCCAAACCACTCCTCAAGAACTCCTAAGAAAAATAAGTTACCTCAACACCTCATAGACCTAATCCATACCAAACGCCGTTCCAGATTATTATGGCTACGTACTAGACACCCCACCGATCGCCAATCCTATAATTATTTTTGCAAAAAACTAAAGACAGAATTGGCCACCTTCAGATCCCAATCCTTCAACTCCTACCTCACTTCCCTCTCTTCTCATGACAATTCCCTATGGAAGACCACCAAACATATCCTAAAACCCCATCATATATCACATCCTCTCCGTCGAGGTGATGGCTCTTGGGCAGCATCTGACGAAGATAGAGCCGAAGAATTCGCCAAACACCTTTCCCTTACATTCACCTCTCATCCAGAATCCAATCCCACCCACACGTCAGCAGTAGAGGAATTCCTTAATTCACCCATCCCACTCTCCTTACCGCCTAAAGCAGTTAATCCTTCTGAGGTCAAATTCCTCTTACAAAAACTACCTACCCGTAAATCACCTGGATACGACCTCCTTACCTCTCAGATCCTTAGACAACTCCCTCCTAAAGCTGTCATATTCCTTACATACATATACAATAGCATCCTACGAACCACCCACTTTCCTCTTTTGTGGAAACATTCCACTATTATCCTGTTTCCGAAACCATGCAAACCTCCCAACACCTCAACGTCCTACAGACCAATTAGCCTTCTTCCGATTCTCTCAAAAATCTTTGAAAAGATCCTCCTGAAACGCATCCTACCCTTTATAGAATCCCAAACTCTTCCTTCCCATCAGTTCGGATTTCGTTCACAACACTCTACAGTCCAACAAGGACTCCGAGTGGTTGATCATATTTCCGCAGCATTGGAAAGCAAGCAATATTGCTCGGGTGCATTTCTGGACATAGCTCAAGCTTTCGACCGGGTATGGCACGCCGGGCTTCTTTCCAAGCTGAAAAACTATCTTCCTCAGTCCTTGTACCTTGTTCTCCGTTCCTACCTCTCAGATCGTACCTTCCGAGTTCGTTGCGGTACTGAATTTTCGCATTGCTATCCAATTGAGGCAGGTGTTCCTCAAGGTAGCGTATTGGGTCCCGTCCTTTACATCCTCTTTACCGCCGATATCCCTGTCCATCCCGATACCTTCCATCAGATCCCAACATAGCATCCTTAAATCTCCAAAACCACCTCACCTTAATTGAGCACTGGTGTAATAACTGGCGCATTAAAGTTAATGAATCTAAATGCCAACATATTACCTTTACACTCCGACGCAGTTCCTGTCCACCAGTACACTTTAATTCCATTCAGCTTCCTTACTCAGACACAGTCCGGTATCTTGGCTTTCATTTAGACCGAAGACTAACGTGGAACCCACATACTAGACTCAAAAGACAAGAACTCAACCGACGATACGGCCAGCTATACAGACTACTAAACAGAAAATCCAAACTTTCTATTGAAAACAAATTACTTATCTACAAGACAATACTGAAACCTATATGGACATACGGACTTGAACTGTGGGGGACAGCAAAAGCTTCTAACATCAAACGTATTCAATCCTTTCAATCTAAAGTCCTTCGAACAATAGTTGATGCTCCGTTCTATGTAAATAACAAAATCCTACACCATGACCTTAATATCCCATTTGTCCTAGACCTTATTCCAGAAAAATTCTCCAAATTTCACCAAAACCTTACCTATCATCCAAATCCCCTTGCAGAATCTCTATCCAGCACCACCCATCCTTACAATCCTCCTCGAAGGTTGAAGCGGCAGTGGCCCAGAGACCTTTTGTAAATAAGCATCTATTGGAGTTTTGGCAATGGCCAGATCCTCCACTCAAGCCCGAGTGTGTATGATTAGGTTAGTTCTTTTGTTTATATACATTTATTTTATTTTATTGTATTTATTTTTATTTTATTTTATTGTATTTATTATTATTAAGTTTCTGTGTTATTTTTTTTTTTTTTATTGTAAATAGAGTGTGAGTGTGCTTTCTCTGAACACTATTATAAATGTCCTTGATGTAACAGAATGTAATATTTCTAAATAAACAAATATAAAAAAAAATATATACAAAAATATAAATAAATAAAGTAATAACAAAAGAATAAGAAAAAGAACAAAAGAAAAAGAAAAAAAAAAGAAAAGAAAAAAAATATATATATACACATAAGTAAGTAAAAATAGAAATAAAAGTAAAACAAACATCCTAGATAAAATATATCTTTATACATTATTTACAATTAGCCAGGTGATCTCCGAACCAATCCTGTCCCCTCCACATGTGGAGGGAAAAGGGAGGCTTAGGATATCCCTACACTTCTCCCTCAGCCACTTCACTGGTATTTAAGACCAGCGGAGGATGAGTAAGAGCGCTACAGCCACAGACACTCATGACTTGAGTGGAGAATCTGTCCATAGCTAGAACTCCAAAATATCCATATTTACAAAAGGTCTCGTGGCCACTGCCGCTTTAATCTACGAAAGGGATTGTAGGGATGGATGGTGCTTGATAGGGATTGTACAACGGGATTTGGGTGATGAGAAAGGTTCTAGTGAAATTTGGCTGGGATAAGATCAAGAATAAATGGGATATTAAGGTCATTATGCAGGGTTTTATTGGTTACATAGAAGAGAGCATCGACAATTGTACGGAGGACTTTAGACTGGAAGGATTGAATGCCTTGGATGTTACAAAATTTAGCTGTTCCCCATAGTTCTAGTCCGTAAATCCAGATGGGTTTCAGTATTGTCTTGTCGATCAGTAATTTGTTTTCACAAGAAAGTTTAGATTTTCTATTCAGTAGTCTATATAGCTGGCCATATCGTCTGTTAAGTTCCTGTCTTTTAAGTCTAGTATGTGGATTCCATGTTAGTCGTCTGTCTAAGAGAAAGCCAAGATACCGGACTGTATCTGAGAAAGGAAGCTGAATGGAGTTCAAATAAACTAGTGGGCAGGTATAACGCCGAAGGGTGAAGGTAATGTGTTTACATTTAGATTCGTTTACCTTGATGCGCCATTTCTTACACCAGTGTTCAATCAGGAAGGGGTGCCTTTGTAAGTTTGCGGACGCTGTTTCAGGATCTGAGTTGGAAGAAAGGATAGCAGTGTCATCAGCGAAAGTTGCCAGGAGGGTATCGGGATGGACAGGAATATCAGCGGTAAAGAGAATGTAAAGGATGGGTCCCCAGACCCTGCCTTGAGGAACGCCAGCCTCAATTGAGTAGCAATCGGAGAATTCGGTGCCACAGCGAACTCGGCAGAAGCGGTCGGAAAGAAAGGATCGGAGTACTAGGTATAAGGACTGTGGTAGGTGGATTTTAAACTTGAAGAGTAATCCGGCGTGCCATAAACGTTCAAAAGCTTGCGCTATGTCCAGAAATGCACCCGAGCAATGCTGCTTACTTTCTAGGGTTGAGGATATATAGTCAACAACTCGGAGTCCTTGTTGGACAGTGGAATGCTGGGAGCGAAATCCGAATTGATGAGTAGGAAGGTTATAGGATTCGATTATAGGTAGGATTCGTTTCAGTAGGATCTTTTCAAAAATTTTTGAGAGGATTGGTAGTAGGCTAATTGGTCTATAGGATGCTGTATTGTTGGAAGGTTTGCCTGGTTTCAAGAAGAGGACGATGGTGGAATGTTTCCATTAAAGAGAGAAGTGGGTAGTTCGTAGGATGCAAATGTATATATATATGTGAGAAATATGATGGCTTTGGATGGAAGTTGTCGAAGGATCTGTGGGGTTAGAAGGTCATATCCAGGAGATTTGGGAGGAGTGATTTTCATTCATTCATTCATTCATGTATGGCACAACATCCCGTTACCGAGACTGGGCCTCCTCCAAGAGCCTCCGCCATTTGGCTCTGTCTTCTGCTGCAGCTCTCCAGTTCCGCACACCAAGCAGGGTTCTCGCATCATAGGCCACGTTGTCCAGCCATCTCGTCCTCGGCCTTCCTACCCGTCTTACGAGGTGCAGCTCCTCCATCATTATTTTTTTTGGTATTTCAACGGTGCTCATTCTGGCCACATGCCCTGCCCACCTTAGTCTGGCCAGTTTAATATACGTGACTCCGTCGATGTCTGCATAGAGAAAACTGAGCTCCCTATTTTTTCTTTTCCTCCAGACATCACCCTCCTTTACTGGACCATAAATCCTTCTGAGGACTCCTCGCTCAAAGACACTCAGCTTCATCTCATCCTTTTTAGTCATCGTC